AAGGAAAAGTTGACATCTATGCCTAGGAATAAGCTCAGCACCACATGGGGATTGATATAGATTAGGAAGTAGGGCATCTAGCAAGCAGGGATGGGGCAGGGAGGTATCGCAACAGAGGAATGAGCAGAGAACCAATTCTACTTCTACCTAATCTTGCTACTTGTTTGCTCATTATTCCAGTCTGTGCTTCATCTTGCTCTGGAAACAAATCTCACGCCTTGCCCCTTCATGTAGGGGAAAGTAGATTCATAGCCCCCGAGGCTTAAAAATGAAGAGTTTACATATGGACCTTCAAAGGGAAACATCACATAAACTAAAGCAGAACTGAGAAAAAGGCAACCAGCCAAATTGAATCTTTCTGATTTTAAGGGCAGAATTACTTTCACACTTCATTTCCATCAATTTAAGTCAATGGGCCTTAGTGTGATTTTTTTTGGCTGGATGGTATCTCCCCACCCATCTCTCTCTCCCGCAATCTCCCTATTGGTTTATGAGAAATAAGATTTCCCCCTTCTATTCAAAACAACCTACCTTTGCTTCCTCTTGTTTAAAACTATTGTTAAATATCTGAGCTAAAGTTTCAAATGAAACTGTCAGGGGAAGCATGAAGTTTTCAAATTCATCTTCATCTTCACCTATGGAAAAAAAGGAAGAAAGGCAAGGGTTAAATGCCAGGAAAAGAACAATGGAGCCCAGGAGGCCTACAACAAGGACTCCTAATATACAAAACTTGCTAAAGGCTTCTGAAAAGCGATAGATCTTCAAAAGGCGTGCCAAGCCTACAAAGCGATGGAGTTCCATTGTTGCCGAGCCAATGAAAAGGCTGTGTTAAGGGTGCCCACCAACCTAATCATCTTCACAGGTGGACACCTAAGTAAGTCTTCCAACACTGATTTCAGTAAATGGACAGGTTGGCATGAGTGCAGGTGGTTATTCAAGTATCCTGGGCCCAATCTGCTCAGGGCTTTTAATGTTACAGCTTTTAATGTTGAATCCACATTTCTTCACAACTTCACGTCTTAACAGCAAGATGTAGTCTAGGAGACTACTCCAGAGCAGGGCTCTTGGGATGACTGACACTCATAGGACCTTACTAGTGTTAATTACTCAGTTGCTAAGCTAGGGTAAGCCTGTGTGTAGGGCTATGCGCACAAATCTGATCGGGGCCCAAACTGGCACTCAATCCGCCCCAGGTCTGAATCCTGAATCTATTATTCCTGCACTGCCTGCTGCAAATGGCAACACCACACCAAGGCTTCAGGAAAGGGTTTTGCCCAGCCACTATTATTTAATCTGCAGTTAAATCCAGCTTCCCTCATACTGTGTTGCATTGTACTCTTGAACACTGATTTTCCATTGTTATGCAAGAAATGGGAACACAAAACTCACAGGGCATTTTGATATCATATCAAGAACTATAGCTGCCTATTATTCTAAATAACATGTTAATTCTCCCAGTTGACATTGCTGATGTCTGTATATTCTAATTATCTGTCTTCTTCTTATTTCTTTTCGATTTCTATATACCGGCTTTAGCACACATCCCTCTCCTCATCACTTTCAGAATTCCCCCAAAGACTCTTTGGACTACTCCACTTGATCAAACATGGGATGGAATTTGATGAAACAGGATCATACTTCTTTGAAAGAATATACATCCCTTTGGATACATTCTGCACAATCAAATTTGAATGTGTGTACGCAGGTGGCGCTGTGGGTTAAACCACAGAGCCTAGGACTTGTTGATCAGAAGATCGGCGGTTCGAATCCCTGTGAAGGGGTGAGCTCCCATTGCTCGGTCTCAGCTTCTGCCAACCTAGCAGTTCGAAAGCACGTCAAAGTGCAAGTAGATAAATAGGTACTGCTCTGGCGGGAAGGTAAACGGTGTTTCCGTGTGCTGTTCTGGTTTGCCAGAAGCGGCTTAGTCATGCTGGCCACATAACCCGGAAGCTCCCTCGGCCAATAAAGCAAGATGAGCGCCGCAACCCCAGAGTCGGCCACGACTGGACCTAATGATCAGGGGTCCCTTTACCTTTACCTTATAATGAGATCCAGGGCTTTTTGATCTGCTGAAGCCCCATGTTTCATGTGGCGTATCCAGGTATCTCATCCTGAGGCCACCTCATAGGCTATGGCTCAAAAATACATGCCCCTCATAACACACTCAGCTACATCAAGTCATTGTTACTGACACGTGTGACAGGTACTATGTTGGATGTGTTGTATTACGCTGTCATGGAAACAGGCAGCCTGAGGATGGGGGATGTAGATGTCACCCTTATGATCGGATCATTACATCACAAAGGGTGTAAATTTTCATAATACAGTCTCTGATAGGAGGCAGAAGAGAGATGAGATGCACAGGCCAAAGGATGACCCAGACTTGGAGACTGAAAATTCCAATGGGTTTACAGAATGCTCTGGGAGATTAATTTTACTTATGCCTATAGGTGACCAGTTGAAGAAGTTACTACAGCTGCTAAGTGTTCTCTCGTTCCGAATCCTAAATAGACCTTCCTTCGGTGGATGGATTACAGAAGGCTGTTGAGGCTTGGAGACAATATAGCAAAGAGGTGCAATTTTTGTGCCCAGTTGGACCAAACAGGTAATTGAACCCATTTAAAAGGCTACAATTAGTGGTAGCAAAGAAGAGTTTATTCTCAGCTTAGACAGCACTGTGTTATGGGGTTTGTTGGGTCCACATTTTGCACACAAACAGAAACTAAGTAATCCACCATCTTCTAAGATGCATTAGCAAGATAGTGATTTTTATTCAGTCTAGCTATTTCTAAAACATAATCTGAGTCACTGATGTTAATGATCACTTTCAGTTTATTTCTTCCTCTAGATGCTATGGCATTTTAAACTTTTTTTCAAAAAAATCCCAATGAGAATAGGGATTTCCAGGGTGCCAGGATATAGCAATATAACTTTAAGGACTGTATAGATAGTTTACAGGTAAACTTTGCCTATTCTAGTTTGAATCTGGCGAGGGAGCTTCTTACTTTGCAGAGGAATCTTATAAGTCTGGAAATAAAGTAGCATTAACTTAAAATACTGAATCATCTTTGGGACAATCTAAAGCCAGTGGAAATAAAAAGAAAGTACATTCCAAATCTGTCTTTTTGCTCCTGGCATAGAATCCTAGAAGAGAAAGTAGGTTCTTCAGTGAAACAGGGATAGGTCCAATGTCCAAAGATTACACTCTTATAATTTAGCTGACCAATCTAAAATACGTTTATTCAGAAATTAACTCTTCTAAGACTTATTTCCTAGTAAGAAACATTAGCCTTGAAATGAAAGCCCATAGGTAAATAAAATGAACTGGATCGAAGGAACCTGAATGGAATGAAAATAGCCACTAATACGTCCTACAAAAATTTTGAAGGAGTATTTTTTAGTACATTCTATAGCAAATTTCATGCGGATTCTGGCACAAGCAGTCATGCGGACTTAATGCAACCAGAAAAACCATGTTGAATTTAGTTTCACCTTTCTTGCACATGATGAGGAAAACAATCCTTCTGTGGGCAGATTAGGTCTCAAAGTGGTCATAACATGTTTTAATAACATGTCTGGCGTAGTGTTCTTTTGATTTAAAAACAAATATCTATATTGCCAGGAACTGATTATTAGACCATAGACAATGTCTTTGGGAGACCTTTCTAACTTCAGGAAGGGAGTGAAGGAATACAAATGAAAAATTTCTTACCTAGATCTACCATGAGAAGGCGTGTGAGTGCAGTATAGAATCTGGTTCTGCACCTAAGGTCACTCAAACCATAATTATCATTTACACCCAAGAAAGGAAAGTGTTTACTCTGGTGGAAAAATGAAGAACAGATGAAAAAAAGTCAACACCATTCATTATTTTATGTTAACAACTTTTAAAATATGGAAGCTAATTCGAAAGACCTACTGTATGATTCTGCAGCATGAACTTCACAGCATCTATTTTCACAAGCTTTTTTAGGAGAATATAAGTGTTTGAAATTAAGGGAAACAACAGTATGCAATTCATATGCTGATAACACAAAACCTAACTTTTTAATGCTTATGGTCTCCAGAGACCACATATTGACAGCTTTACAGAGTATTAGAACATAGAGATTTCAAAAATTAGGCTTTTTATTTTAAAAAATGCAAAAAAGTAATGATGCATAATATTACTAAGCAGAAGAGCAGGGAAGTTGTTAAAACTATCAACAGTCAAAGTGTTCTTAATTTTTTTAGAAGACAAGTAGAAAATGTATGACATCTCAAGGCCAATTCTTTCATCTTTTACAGCAGTCGTCTCTCACAGCAGATGGGAGAATGGGGTGCCAAATTCAGGTAAACCTTGTCACTAATCCTCAACAGGTGAGTGTGGCGTTCGTACGGAGCCCCCGGTCGTCTCACGGACTATTGACCCGTACACCACTAATCCGCTGCCACCAACCAGGTCCTTCCTGGTAAAATCACTTCAGCCTCAGTCAGGTTCTCAATTAATAAAGAAGAGTGTATTTTATTTCAGACACAAACAAAACTTTTACAGCATTCCAAACGTTGTTGCTCTTTACTTTCTTAGTCTTATTTTCCTCTATCTCTTCCACCTCCCCACACTCAAGAACCCGCTGCCCTAACTGTCTCTCTATTACCAACTGCCTTTCCCAATCAGCCAACCCGCTAAATCCAACCAACTACCCACCAACAACTCCCAACAAACTCCTCCCCAAACTCCTCCCAGAACTGGTTTTATAGTCCCACTGACTCCACCCCCCTAGGTCCTGACTGGGCAACCTGTTTAACTATTTACCTCCAGCACTCTCTCTTATGTTAACGTCACAGTGAGCAGCTCTGTCAGAACAGATAGTGCTGGTCCTCTGTAGTGTGTATACTGGGGAAGAGGGTGGGATTTTCTCATGCAGAAGAACTGGCACACAACTTGCTGCTACATATGGATCAAGGTTTTGAGTTCAACATCTCATCTCTCACAGTTCCTATTAAAATATTTTCTCTGTTTAAAATGGTTAAGACAGGAAGGAGCTACAGAAAAATACTGGCATTATCCTGTACCACTGTTTTACTCTAGGAGAACCTTCTCCAACATGGTGCCCGCCAGATTCCAACTCCCATAGTCTCAGCCAGCACCACTATAGGTCAAGGATAATGCATTTGTAGGTAAAAACATCTCAAGGGCACCGGGTTGAGGGAGGCTGTATAAGGAAAGAAACAAGTAAAGTGGTACCTTGGTTCTCGAATGGCTTAGTTGCCGAACAAATCGGCTCCCGAACGGGGCAAACTCGGAAGTAAGTGTTCTGGTAGACAAACGTTTTTTGGAAACCGAACATCCAATATGGCTTCCAATTGAGTGCAGAAAGTTCTTGCAGCCAATCGGAAGCCACACCTTGGTTTTCAAACGGTTTCAGGAGTTGAACGGACTCCCGGAACGGATTAAGTTTGTGAACCAAGGCACCACTGTGTCTCTGCATCAAAGTTAGCTATAGTGTGGCACTGAATATTCAACACAGCAAAATAGTCAAAAGTTTGAAAATACTGTATTTTTCCATGTAAAAGACTATATTTTCCCCCAAATTTTTTAAGTTTAAAATTGGGGGTCATCTTACACACAGAATGTTGCAATTAATTATTTCTTAATTTTGGGCTCAAAAAATAGGGGTCTTCTTACACATGGAAAAATACGGCACTAGCCTTTCCGTCCAACACCTTGCATTCACAGTCAAATATAGTTAAAGAACTTTATATAGCTATGAAACTAGTGTACACATATCTATCTTATTGGCTGAAAGTACAGTGGTACCTCGGGTTACATACGCTTCAGGTTACAGACTCTGCTAACCCAGAAATAGTACCTCAGGTTAAGAACTTTGCTTCAGGATGAGAACAGAAATCATGCTCTGGTGGTGCGGCAGCAGCGGGAGGCCCCATTAGCTAAAGTGGTGCTTCAGGTTAAGAACAGTTTCAGGTTAAGAACGGACCTCCAGAACGAATTAAGTACTTAACCCGAGTTAGGTAAAGGTAAAGGTACCCCTGCCCGTACGGGCCAGTCTTGACAGACTCTAGGGTTGTGCGCTCATCTCACTCTAGAGGCCGGGAGCCAGCGCTGTCCGCAGATACTTCTGGGTCACGTGGCCAGCGTGACGGAGCTGCTCTGGCGAACCGGCACCAGAGCAGCACACGGAAACGCCGTTTACCTTCCCACTATAAAGCGGTACCTATTTATCTACTTGCACTTAAGGGTGCTTTCGAACTGCTAGGTGGGCAGGAGCTGGGACCAAACGACGGGAGCTCACCCCGCCGCGGGGATACGAACCGCCGACCATGCGATCGGCAAGTCCTAGGCGCTGAGGTTTTACCCACAGCGCCACCCGCGTCCCTAACCCAAGGTACCACTGTACTAAAGAGAGGGTATAGGAAAGAGTTTAAATTATATAAGCAACCTGGAAGTTATTCAAATTGGGGTCTCTATTTAAAAATTTGTTTTCTTTAATCCTAACATTTTAAAAGTCAGAACTCTTGGCACGCATGCAACATTCTGTGTGCATAGCTCCACTACAGCAACAGGACTTCTGTTTTTTCTCCCCCCTGTGCATCCCCAAAAAACTGTTTTGGAGCATGCTCCAGCCCTTTGGAGTTGATATTGAGGGTGTGCAGGTGGGTGGAAATGATTGGAAAGGAAAAGGCAGCTCCATTGGCTACATGGAAGTCCACTGAACCAGAGAAGCCACAGCATTGGGTATGGCCTCTAAAGTTTACATCAGCAGTCTTCAGCTTTTAATTGACCTAGGACCCATCTTGGTCCTATCTGTAACCTCTTAAATTTTTGACTACAGGTAACTTGCAACTTATGTGCATCTAACTTGTTCACATTCAGCTACACAATTGGCAATATATATATAATAAAAGATGGCAATCCCACCTGACATTGAACCCAATGTGTTTTGACTATACTGTATGCGATTTTGGCTTTATGCCAAAATCCCTATACCTGGAATGTAACCCCAGCGTAAACAGAGTTGCCTGTATTTTAATCACAATCCAGTACAGTGGTACCTTGGGTTACATACGCTTCAGGTTACAGACTCTGCTAACTCAGAAATAGTGCTTCAGGTTAAGAACTTTGCTTCAGGATGAGAACAGAAATCGTGCTCCGGCGGCGCGGCAGCAGCAGGAGGCCCCGTTAGCTAAAGTGGTGCTTCAGGTTAAGAACAGTTTCAGGTTAAGAATGGACCTCCGGAACGAATTAAGTACTTAACCTGAGGTACCACTGTATAGAAGTAAGCATGTTTAAACACATTTGCATCAATGGACTTTGGCCGTAATTTTTATCTTTACTACATTTGTCTAAATTTTTCCTTCCTTCTCTATTGCCAAATGGTAAAGGTAAAGATACCCCTGCCCGTACGGGCCAGTCGTGACCGACTCTGGGGTTGCGTGCCCATCTCGCTCTAGAGGCCGGGGGCCAGCGCTGTCCGAAGACACTTCCGGGTCACGTGGCCGGCGTGACGAAGCTGCTCTGGTGAGCCAGCACCAGCGCAGCACACGGAAACGCCGTTTACCTTCCCGCTATAAAGCGGTACCTATTTATCTACTTGCACTTTGACGTGCTTTCGAACTGCTAGGTGGGCAGGAGCTGGGACCGAATGGCGGGAGCTCACCCCGCTGCGGGGATTCGAACCGCCGACCATACGATCGGCAAGTCCTAGGCGCTGAGGTTTTACCCACAGCGCCACCCGCGTCCCAGCTATTGCCAAATGATAGTTTACTGCAATGCTTCTGCAACCAAGCCAGCATGGGTCTAGATGCAACCAAACAGTAGATTCATCAGCTGAGGACGAACATTTTAAATAATCCACTTCCTAGGCTATGTTTTAACAATTACATGTAGAGACTTTTAGGTAACTTGCTTGATTAGTTATCAAGTGACTGTTTTATGTTGTGAAGTCTTTTTGCAGGGGTTTTGTTTTAAACCAAAAGAAAGACTTTAATAACTGCAATCACAGGTTAACTAGGAAGAAGAACAATCAGATACCTGAAAGACACTTTGTGGTCAGTTCCTTCACAAAATAACCGTGTGTGTGTGTGTGTGTGTGTGTGTGTTAAAGTTAATTATGAGAAACAACAGAGGATGCATGAGGGAGTAGCATGACTACACTGACAGAAAGGAAACACTAACACATTCCATTATGTAAATGAATTCAAAGCTATTCCGTGACTGATCAGCTAGAAGGGACATAATGATTTATAATTCAAATAACTGAGCCTTAAAATCAAATTGGGCTAATATATTTCTAAATATGCAAGCCTGGAATAATTGTTAAAATAATGCAAAACAAGACAGCAACACAAATCATTTGTTGCCTCTTGTTGCTTAAAATACTCCCTATATATATTTTTGCTCTTTTGTCTAATCCTTTCTAAAATTGTGATATATATATTTTTTAAAAAAACTGTTATAGAATCTCTGAAGAAATAAATAACCCTTATGCATAATAAAAGATAAGTACCAATTTCAAGGAACATGTAGCGCTTGATTCTGAAGGAAAATTATATGCATATGAATGAATTAAGCAATGGGCAGGCATTTAAATTAAACTAATTATTTTTTAGCCTTTCAAATTAATCACAATTTAATGTACCCTGTGCGCTGAAAATGGGCCCCCTGGATGTGGTCTCTAAAAAACATGATGCTTCTCAACAAAGTTATATATAATGAAAGCCTAATCCTCAACCGACCACAGTGACTTAATCCCTATCAGAATGAGAAGGGCTTGTCTGAAGTGAGCTTGAACATCACAGCCACTGAGTTGCTCTGACAAACTAATGCATTGTTAAAAGGTTAAAGTTTGCAATACCAGGAAGTATTTATAAACACTTCATATGTAAGAAATAAGAAGTACTTCAGTATTGTTCTTTAAAAGCTGAGCCAATAGATTTAAAAGAGAGAAAATGTATGTATCGTTAAAAGCCAAAATGACCAGCAAAATTGGGTTGTACATCATTTTCCAACAAAAAGGAAAAACAGCTTCGACAGCTGTAATTTATCATTTTTCTGATTTAATACCAAAGAAATATATTAAAATAATAAAAAGAATCCTGAAATCCTCAAAATTTGTTGTGATAAATAGCCCTCCCTGCCTTTATTACATTATGCCTACTAACAGAAATATTGCATGGTGGATTTTGCCAGACAAGGACGATTATTTTCCAATAAAAAGTTGCATATTAAATTCCAGCACAAAAGTGGGTGTCTTAATACTTCTGAATTCTTTTTTCATTTGCCAAAGAACACAATTTTAAACTTAACTAATACTAACACATAAGAATAAAGTGAAACAGCATTTAGGTTAGCTCTATCATGCTACATTCATTTTAACTGGAAAAAGAAACAAATCACAGAAGTTCGAGTCAAATTACATTTAATGCAGTTTATTTATTCAAAACGTTGTTTATTTCAATGTTGCCAATTAAAAGAAAGTTAACTAGCAAAGTTAATGCCGATTTTATATGCTCTTTTCATCGTGTAGCCCCATTCATCGATATAGCAAAATTACCTACCAAGCAAGAGCGTTTTACAAAGTTCATTTGGGGAATAATAATATCAGGGAAAAAGAGGAATAGAACACTGAATATTATTGGACCCTGGTTTGGAATGAAAAAGTGCATCAATTTCTATGAGATTTTTAAATAACAGATACAGTGGTACCTTGGTTCTCGAACTTAATCCATTCCAGGAGTCCGTTCGACTCCTGAAACGGTTTGAAAACCAAGGTGTGGCTTCTGATTGGCTGCAAGAGCTTTCTGCACTCAATTGGAATTCGTATCAGATGTTCAGTTTCCAAAAAACGTTCGCCTATCGGAACACTTACTTCCGAGTTTGCACCGTTCGGGAGCCATTTGTTCGACAACTAAGCTGTTCGAGAACCAAGGTACCACTGTATAAGCAACAAGGGGAACATATACCAAGCCATGCCATTGGACACCTAGCCCAGTATTGCCTTGGAGGTTCTTTCCAGTCTGGTTGAAAGAAGGAACCAGGTTTGAACCTAAAACCCTCTTTATCTAAAGCATGTGCTTTACCCACTAAGCTATGATGCCTCCCCAGATTATTGTCCAATGCTGCTATATGCCACTGAATCAGACAAAGAGATGAAAAAAATTATATCCAAAGGCCAAGGATTCTTAAACACAGGAGATGTTTAAGTGCTTTGATATTTACCTGAAGCCCAGTTGCAATGCAATTCATTTCTTCTTTTAAAAAAAAGATTCATACATTTTATGTAACTTAAATTATAAATTAAAAGGCAGCTTTAAAAAAAGTGATAGAAAGAACAAAACTGAAACAAGCATATCTATTTTAAAAAAAATTAAAATAACAAATTTGAATCTCCACTTAATCAAAGAAAACCAGAACCAAAATACTAAGATATAACATCAGAAGCAGGACCATTCTGCAATCTAATGTGAATATAATATTGGCAATGAACAGATGTGAACTGAACAGGTAAAAAACCATTAAAAGCTCAGTAGTACAGAACCTTTTGGACTTGACATCTATAATGGATTAGTATTAGTGCATGGCAGGCAAGGTTCTTTCTCTGAGCACTCACAGGCCTATTTTCTTGTGGAAGAAAGGTTAACTTGTAGATCTTAAAGCAGCATATAAAGTGGAGCCTCCGGATACGAATTAAATTCGTTCCGGGGGTCCATATTTAACCTGAAAAGTCCGTAACTCGAGGCGCTGCTTCTGCGCATGCACGCGGCACTACAGAGCGCTACCGCGCATGCGCAGCGAAACCCGGAAGTATACACTTCCGGGTTTGCCACGTTTGCAACCTGAAAGTTACATGTCCAGAGCGGTACGTAACTTGAAGGTCCACTGTAAAGGAGTAAGCATTCATTAAATCTAGTTTGTTTCAGAGAGTGGAAGAAACAATCAATTTCTGCTATAAAAGAAATGGAGAAGAAAACAAAGGTGGAAAGTCAGCTTGGAAGAACATGCTGATTCAACTGGCGGTGGGGAATAGGAAGGAAGGCAAAACAAACAATCACACAACTATTTTGAAGATGTCAGATTGATCTGGGCCCAGCACATTCCCTTCTCCTGCCTGTCACTGCCTAGCAGCTCCTCCTCCTCCAATCTGGGGTCATCCTCACCTCTCAATGGCAAAGGACAAGGAGAAAGGTGGTGATTGAGATGAACACAGTGTTTTCTTGCACCACAACTGCTTTGCAGCAACTGCTTGAAGTTTAAAGTTCTCTGCGTAGACTAGGAACAGAAGCACCAATGAAAGAAGTTCATTACCTTTTATTACTTAAAGACTGATTATCTTCATATCTTAACAAAGCTATTTAAAGCAGAATTTCTTGTTGACCTTTAGTTTATTGAACAATAAGGTACTGAAAGAAATCATCGAGGAAAAACAATCATTTTTACCCTTTTAACATTTTAGCAATGCAATACAATAACCTCTTCTCTTCCGTCTCTGTCACATACAAGTGACACTTCCCTTTACACACACACACACACACACACACACTGGCAAACATAAAACACCCAAACATACATTCACACCAGACCATGTTAACCAGCTCATTAAACTAGAAGTACAATCAGCTGAATGCTCAATTGACCCTGACCTTGAGTTGCACAGCAGACATTGGCACTGGGCTGATGATGGGAGGAAGTGCAAAAGACCATGTACTCTTCAAGAAGTCTAACTCACAGGACCAGTGAGCTGCTGAACATTCAAGAGCATTCAATCAACGTCAGGCTCTGAAGCAAGCACAGACGATTCTGGCCATCTCACCAATAACTGCCCGATTCCAATTGCCATAGCTGTTACCCTTTCATGGAAGCCATCAGGAGCAGGGTTGAAGGAGACAATAAACCTATTTTGGTTTTATATCAAAATCCCAGCTTTACTGACCAATAAAACTGGACAGGAAACTGAACTTTTAGATTAATTTGAAAGGAAGATTATGTGCAAGACGGCATTTGTACAATGGACTATGCACAGAAAGGGCTATGCTTAATTACTATTTCAGTATCAACTATTCCCAAGAGTATTAACAAGTAAAAAGTAAGATGAAAATGGTGCACATTCTACCATCGTCTAAACTACCCAGTGGATAGGACTCATGATATACAGTTAAAAGGATATCCAACTGAAAGGTCATTTAGAAACTGAAGTGTTCTTGAGATCACAGGCTCACATCGCCCCCAGTATTTAAGATTTGTAACACTAGAATTAAAAAAAGAAAAGTTTTACAAATGTATCTTCTAACCAGACATACACATGTGCAATATTAGTTCAATGGGACTTATTCCCAGCTAACTGTATTCATCCCAGTTTGCAGCAATCCATACTTTGTTTGTTCTTGCCTTCAAATTGAGCTCTACTCTGAACCATCGGCTACCAGCCTGCTTAAAAATAACTTAGTTCCAGGTGGTATGAAGGCAAGAATTGGATTTTTCAACCCAGTTACAAGGATGTCCTTCTTTCTCGTGGTTCACTTATTATTCTCTCCAGAGAATAATTTGGACCAATGTTTCAAACAACTATCTAGAGAGTCAAGATTTGCTGAATACTTTCCCCAGTGTATTATGCAACGTATTCTATAATGCAGCATAAAAAGGGAAATACGAAATGAACAAGGTTGCCTTCAGATTTGAATCAAAATGTGAAAACAACAGAAGACAGTTGCTAACTGATAATAACAGAAAAAAGGATGGTGGCGACAGTAAAAAGCCACATTAATTGCATTCATATGTCACATCTCAAAATTTTAAAATTAAGGCATTAACTATTAGCAGCATTTGCATTAATGTTTACATGGGGGGGACAAAAACCACAAGAGAAGGTATTTCAAACTCACATTTTTGCCATAAATGTTTCTAGAACTTGGTTGTCATCTGTTATTCCCAAAACTTCTGACATTCGAGCATAAACCTGGAAAAAAACAATTCAACGGTGAAATCTTAATAGCTTACTGTACTATGATTTTTTTAACATGCATTGTTCTGAAAAGAGATCACTTTCCTTGGCAGCAGGGAACCAGCAAGTTGGGTGTTGTTTTGAAATTCAGTTCTGTTGTGACTATGAGGCTGAAAATATGGGCAAACTGTATTTCTCCCTGCTTCCTCCTCCTCCTATTCTATAATCCAGGCTTCCTCAACCTCAGCCCTCCAGATGTTTTTGGCCTACAACTCCCATGATCCCTAGCTAGCAGGACCAGTGGTAAGGGATGATGGGAAATGTAGTCTCAAAACATCTGGAGGGCCAAGGTTGAGGAAGCCTAAAGCTACACAGTGTATGGCTACAGGGATAACAGAAATCACAGTTTTGTAGAATTGGAAGGGTCATCTAGTTCAACTCCCTGCAATGTAGGAATCACACCCAACAAATCCCTGACAGATGATCATCTGGAGGGCCAAGGTTGAGGAAGCCTGCTTGCATTATATAGTTAAGAAAGAAAGACTGTTCCGCTCAAGCAACTTGTGATGACTAAGCAGACTGAAATAGATGGGTGATAGCTACAAATCCTGAAGCTGAGGCTCCAATACTTTGGCCACCTCATGAGAAGAGAAGACTCCCTAGAAAAGACCCTGATGTTGGGAAAGATGGAGGGCACAAGGAGAAGGGGATGACAGAGGATGAGATGGTTGGATAGTGTTCTCGAAGCTACCAGCATGAGTTTGACCAAACTGTGGGAGGCAGTGGAAGACAGGAGCGCCTGGCGTGCTCTGGTCCATGGGGTCACGAAGAGTCGGACACGACTAAACAACTAAACAACAACAACAAGCTACAAATGATGCTGGAAGGAGGGGTTGGGTGAGAAAGTTGCTATGAAAGAACCACCTCAAACCCCAGAACCCAAAGCCACCCACCTTCTCCCAGGAAAATGCAGCCAGTCAGGAAGCTCCCTTCTCCTATCCTAGGCCTTATCACTGCTTCTTCTTCCTGCTTGACCTTGTTTCTGCTTTTTGCCCAACCCTGACAGTTTCAAATTGCTCTGGACCACCAGACTCACAGCAATCCATGGCTATTTTAACCCAACTTGGGCGATGCCTGGATTCCCTCAAATAAGAATGATTCAGTCCAGGAGCTGGGCTTTGGCTGAATCCGCTTCACAGACCTACTGCCAACTATATTCTCAAATTCTGAATCCATCCATATGTCGAAAAGCTACGGTGACTAATATTTTTAGTTGCTTGCATTTATCCTAAAGTATTTATTATTATTGGGGATAAATGCTACTATTTTATTCTTTGTATGAGGAAGCAATTTAAGACCCCCATAAAATATCTCGTAAGGCAGGGGTCAGCAAACTTTTTTAGCAGGGGGCCGGTCCACTGTCCCTCAGACCTTGTGGGAGGGCCAGATTATATTTTTTTGGGGGGAGGAGGAATGAATGATTTCTTATGCCCCCAAAATAACCCAGAGATGCATTTTAAATAAGAGAAGACATTCTACTCATGTAAAAACACCAGGCAGGCCCCACAAATAACCCAGAGATACATATTAAATAAAAGGACACATTCTACTCATGTAAATACATGCTGATTCCCGGATCGTCCACGGGCCGGATTTAGAAGACGATTGGGGCAGATCCAGCCCCCAGGCCTTAGTTTGCCTACCCACGCCATAAAGTTTTATATTAGCAGAGAAAAGAGTGTTTTAACAAGCGCTCCGCAGAAAGAAGACGGTATTCTACTGTACATATATGTTCATATTTATCACATTTACTGTGATAAAAACCCTTGCTTTTCTGGGTGATTAGGTGATGGCTATAATCACCAGGTTATAGCTATTACAGAACAGCAAAAAGAGAAGGCACAGATCTACCTAGTAGATGATAGGATTAAGAAGGGTTGCCCAGTTTTAGTTATTTCTCTGTGGAATGTGGATGGATGGGCCATTGGGTTTTAAGGTATTTCTTAGGATTACATTTAATGTTTCACTTTCAGAAGCACAGCTTTTTTGGGGTAAATAAACTTTTAATAGTTATAGTCACACCACACATGCACATAGTAAAAGTTATAAATTAGGGATTAATTCTACGTACTTCACTGTGCAAAGGACACTTGATATATGAGATTATTTTAGTGGATTGGTTTCTATTTGTGTAGAAGCATTACTACTACTACTATTAGTAATAGTAGTGTTAGTATTAGCCATAGCTCCGCCTTTCCCCCTGAAGGGACACAGGGCAGCTTACAGATTAAAAACATAAATAACATAGAAAAATCAATCATTAAATACTATTAAATATTGATAGAATTAAAGTTACATGCATACATAAAATCTGTTTAGAACATACCAATTATTACAGTGGCATGCAAACATGCAAGTCTTGGAGAAACACATGTTTAAGAATAAAGGAGAAAGCCTCAGCGCCTAGGACTTGCTGATCGAAAGGTCGGCGGTTCGAATCCCCGCGGCGGGGTGCGCTCCCGTTGCTCGGTCCCAGCGCCTGCCAACCTAGCAGTTCGAAAGCACCCCCAGGTGCAAGTAGATAAATAGGGACCGCTTACTGGCAGGAAGGTAAACGGCGTTTCCGTGTGCTGCGCTGGCTCGCCAGATGCAGCTTTGTCACGCTGGCCACGTGACCCGGAAGTGTCTCCGGACAGCACTGGCCCCCGGCCTTTTGAGTGAGATGGGCACACAACCCCAGAGTCTGTCAAGACTGGCCCGTATGGGCAGGGGTACCTTTACCTTTACCTTTAAGGTTAGGTATATTTTGAATTCCTTAGACTTTCCAGCTAGTTAACCCAGAACCATCTACTATTCCTATGTCTATACTAGAGCATTAATACATGTGCACGCTTTAACCAGTAACTCCGAAATCTATCTCAACGTTTTTCAAAATCTCAATGAATTTTTCATTTACCAGTTTTACGCCAAGCAGCCTTATATACACAGCAGAGAGGCAAAGAACAGCTAGGCAGGAGGTGGAATCAGGGCCTTCAATCTCCAAATCCTGCCCCCATACCAGAAAGCCATTTCAGCTTGGCGAAGAAAGTAAGTTTTCCTTTTACTTCCCCACCTCCTGGAGCTGTTGATTCTTCCTGAACTGAAAGTTCATTTTCATTTTTAACACAGCATTTTCGTGCAAAACAGCAATTTAAAATTTTTAGAAATGCATCACAAACATGCCTTCGCTTGTGAAATAGTGGTGCTGTATCCTTTCCTTTGGGCGGATGGAAGCAAAATGGCTAGGTTGAGCTCAGGTGAGGAGCAAATGGTATAATAATAATAATTATTATTATTTATTATTTGTACCCCGCCCATCTGGCTGGGTTTCCCTAGACACTCTGGGCGGCTTCCACAAAGACCAAAAATACATTAAGATGTCACACATTAAAAACTTCCCTGAACAGGACTGCCTTAAGATGTCTTCTGAATGTCAGACAGTTGTTTATCTCTTTGACATCTGATGGGAGGGCGTTCCACATGGTGGGCGCCAGTACCGAGAAGGCCCTCTGCCTGGTTCCCTGTAGCTTTGCTTCTCACAATGAGGGAACCGTCAGAAGGCCCTTGGCGCTGGACCTCAACATCCGGGCAGAACGATGGGTTTGGAAACGCTCCTTCAGGTATACTGGGCCAAGGCCGTTTAGGGCTTTAAAGGTCAACACCAACACTTTGAATTGTGCTCGGAAATGTACTGGGAGCCAGTGTAGGTCTTTCAAGACCGGTGTTATGTGGTCTCGGCGGCCACCCCCAGTCACCAGTCTAGCTGCCGCATTCTGGATTAGTTGTAGTTTCTGGGTCACCTTCAAAGGCAGCCCCACGTAGAGTGCATTGCAGTAGTCCAAGCGGGAGATAACTAGAGCAGGGAAGCAGGGAATGTGGCAATAGGTGGAAAGGATGTTGTGTGGATGCCACTCACAAGAATGACACACAGTGGATTTACATCCTCATTAAACTCCTGTGTGGACAAGCCCTAGACGTTGCATGCAATGATATTTCAGGATTCTTTAACAAACTTAGATTTTGTTTCAACATTTTGGGCAAGGCGTATGAATATTTATCATTTGTATGAAAACGAAATTAAAAATATACGAGAAGGATAGGAAGCTGTGTGCTATGTGGTAGCATTTTGTTCTCTTGTCAATTAACATTCAGATCATGGCTTAACAAATGAAACACTGGGAGAGATGTCAAATTTAACAAAGAACACTCCTTTAATCCACCGTTTCCTTGCTGCTTTCGCTACTCCTTTTATCATGCATTCGCTATTATTCCTATTATCCCATCAAGATCTATGTCAACACTTATCCCTGGAGATGTCCCTCAACTACTAGAATCTGACAGCTAAGCTTTGGTGCTAAACAGGATCATTACCTCTTAAATCTACTTATCTGAACCACTGAATAAGTAAATTGAAAAGCTCATTAACAGCAACAATCTAATTTGTTTTCACATGTGACAGGGTCATTTTAAATAGCTGTGTGGGTAACATAGCTATACCATACGTTGTGGAAAAGAATAGCTCTTAAATTAAAACAGCTACGGAATTATGTTATTTATTTGTGTTTATCCTGCTCTTTGTACAATTTTGTCTAGTACAATTTTGCATAGAAAAGTATCATAAATACACACAATATATGCAGGCTGCAGAATGGTTTTGGTTGTTTTCTTTTTTTAAAAAAACAAAACCTAACAAGGCAAATACAGCCCAATGGAGCATGTGCCTGTTTGGCAGCCTCGGAAAATTGATTGTGCTGGAAAATATAAAAGGGTGGGGAAAGCAGAATACTTTGATTGAGTGCCTTCCATCTTCCTAGGTGAGTGGGGGCCTGATTGGCTTGTAGGTTCCCTGCTAGTCTTCTGCTAGGTGGTGAGGAAACTGCAGCAATTTGTGGCAGTCCCACTTGTAACGTTCAAGATGTAACCCCTCTGCAGACAGTTCTTGCAGGTTCGTGCCAGTCTCAGCTTGAGATCAGGCA